ACGTTGCTCAGAAGACAAGGGGACAGTGTAATGCTTTGTTTATGTGACTATCTGACGTTTGGTGGTCAACAGAGAATTTGTCTGGCCTCTGTACACGTGGGCTGGCCTTCGGGCCAAGCTCAGGCCCTATTAGCCCTGTCGTTTTCCGAATACATTAATTCATCCTCACTTATGCTTTTTACTACCCTATAGGAAGCCTCCGGACGCTACATTGTAAAAATCTATATTTATGGTATTGTCGGTAAAACCAGCCTCATAACATTTTAATCACCAAATTTTTTAGGAATAAAATTTCGATATCTAATTAAATTAAATTTGTTTTGCATACATTTATTACCTGTACATTTTTTTTAAAAAATTTTTGTTTTAAAGATATAAATGCTGAATAAAAATCTTGATAAATAAATATTTTACATATAGTTTTTAAACTACTGGCTCTCGCTGTTGGTCTAGCCTTCTACCTGAATCGACCTGGCTGAACATTGCGCATGTTCGCTTTGGACGTTCACGGGTTCGCCGTTTTCGTTGCTCGGAGGTCTCAACTTTTAACGACAGTCAGACATTTTACAACTAGCTACCAGCTCAGCGGAAAGGCTCGAACGTACGAAAGCAAGCCTGTTCCTGGTTCTCTTGATCACCTTGATCCACTTGCTTGGGCTCAGAGGCTTTTTGATTTACACGAAGCACGGAAGGCCTACACTTACTCAAATGAGCCGTCACCGCTGTTCATGATATGCAGGATCAAACCAATTAAAGGGACAACATTCTTTGAGCGCGCATTTCTTGAGAAATATGGAATCGGACCCAAAACTAAAGTAAGCGTAGCTATGCCTTGTATTGCACCTCAGCAACATCAATGGAAGGTTGTCAAAAATGCTCCACAAACTGTGAAGGAGATGGATCATATCAAGCACTTGGTCAGGATCCAGCCGGTCTCTTTTCTTGATGGCCTCCCTTTATCTGAAGACGATCTAGTTAACTTCCGGTTATTACCGAACGGCGTCTTCGTGCGCCGTGGAAATTCACCGTTCCGTTCTGGAAAATCATTGGATCTTGCCGAGTTTGAGATAATTAAACATCCATGTGTCAGTGAGGATAAAGTACTTTTTGTGAGTTCAACATCCTGTGATTTACGTGATTACACTTGCAATAATGCCTGTCACTTCCGATGATGTTTTTGTGCTATAGATTCCTGAGGTAAATGAAAACTCTCTATATTTGACGCGTAGTTACTTGAAAAGTTGGCACAATCAGCGGTGGCAACATCACAAACTTCTTTCTGAATTTTTTACTGCCAAGTACAAATATCGACTTAATCAAGATGGGCAGGAATACCGATACAGTGGTTTATGGCGATTGGATGATGCGATGCGACAGTCGTTGAGCCAACGCAAAAGCCTGGACGGCACTTACAAGGCTCGGAACAATTCTCGTTTTGAAGCTGACTGGGGTACATATCCATGGTCGTTCTACTAATGTGGAACGCCATTTGCACAGTTTTGTCTCTCTTAATAAATCGGTTGTAACGAATCTCCTCTTTTCATGCATGCTGTGCTCTCTGAGTCACTTCGGCAGGGTAGTTGTCCATACTTGCACTATTGTAAAACCAGCTGTACTAATCGAAGATGTATACATGTGTGGAAAAGTAGATCCTTTAACTAGAAGCCATCTGTTTTTACTGGTTTTACGTCATGGAGGAAAAGCGTTTTCTTCTTGGTCTTCGAGTAAATTTACTTTACAATTTGGGAAGGGGTTTATTGCGGAATCCGTTCGTTTTATCATTTACGGTTTTCCGCATTTCTTCAGCTGATTCTTGCTGTTGATACCGCTGGGAGTCTGCTGCTCTCATTTTTTTACTGATCAATGAGGTATTCGGCGAGTAAGCGGGAAAGCTCTTGCACAAATCAAATTATGGTGCTTGCAGCTTACATCTTCAAATCCCTGCAGGTCTGAATTTGTAGTGATAAGCTTAATTTATGGCTAATGCAACTCTTTTCTGTAGTTTCAGGCGTTATTATCCAAGTCCTCACATTTCGGAACCAAATGCTGTCCGGCGTATTCAGATCAGCAAAGACGACATGCATCTCTTAGAAATGCCAAGCGATTGTTTGCGGAAAATTTTTAGTTTCCTTACTTTCCATGAAATTGCGCTCATTAGACCAGTAGGTGCAACAATTTCTCTCACCAAATTTAAATGTAGGTCTGTCGTAAGTTCAATGCAGTAGCCGCAGATCTGCTCAAGTGTGAGTTTTGCCGACTGGAGCAGTTAGTTCGCGATTACCGTCGAGAGTTGAAGATGCTTTTACCGCGACGGGAATCGGAGCGTCGGAAGCACACACTGGCAGGGTTTGACGCAAAACAAATTTGGAATCTTGATTCTCTCCTTTTTTTCCCTTAGGCATGCAGATGTGCTTTCCGCGGTGGAGACTCGGCTCTCTCTTTTGGGTATGACCATAATGCGCTACGTGGATGAGGGTTACTGCTGCTTCTTCCCTGGCAAGGTTCTGGATGAACTGCGCCGCGTCTATGTGGTAATAAAGTCCTCCACGTCGTCCATCCCTCGCTCTACTGAACTCCTTCGCGAGCTACGCGATATCTCCTCTATGGCAATGGAGCACTTCGATGAGGTTCTTTTGCCTCAAATCTACGAGAATAAATGTAAATTAAACTGACGTAGGCCTTGACAATTGGCACTGCTTTTATTCTTGCCTAACAATCAGGGAGAAGAGTTTACAGAAAACTTTATTTTCTAAACCACATTTGTGGGTTTCACGTGGGCGCACTAGGTGCTCATATGCTCCCCAACTTGATCGAGTTTCACCTTTTTTTCTTGTCATTCATTTCATGGTAGTACTAGCGATAGCATTGAAGTACGCTGTTTTCAACTAGTTCAGCGATTTTCTTAATTGTTTACTTATGCTTAAATGGCCTCTGAATAAGCCTATCATTTTATGAACTTCAGTACGGCGTCAGCAACAAAGTCTAAGCGAGCTGACCTATCAGAGACGAAGTGGGAACTTGCAACAAATAACACTATCAAAGAATTTGAATAAATCCCTTCCAAACCTGCTGGACATTGGTATTGTGGTGCCTCCCTCTAGCACAATTATTTCTGCTTCCGCCTCCGAAATTCAACTGTCTCAGGTTGACTTTCAGTTTTGTGGAAGGTCGATTACGTAAAATTCCGACAATTTGATTTAGTTTTGCCTTCATAGTTCTCCCAGATTTTATTATTTTTTTTAAGTCTCACATTATTTTATTTGATAGGTCAATAGTCTTTTATCCATCCCGACAAACACTTCCGATCTACGGTTCATACCATTATGTGCTTTGAACTTTTCCCTAAAACATCACCATTGAAATTATTTTCGTCTTTCCTAGTTGAATCACACTGAACCTGCTGCACCAGAACCTAGTGATTTGCTGGTGACCGCACAACCGGAAAGTCTCGTTAGCCATGTAAACGCTATGCAACAGACACTTATGTCGATTGCGGCAACCCAACGGGAGATGGGTGAACGCATTAGTCGCCTCAACAACATGGTCATTTGCCTTGGTTACAGGTAAGGTAGGCATATAATCTGCAAATTTGCGGTTTGATTGTTGAAAATCAAAAATCTAGGTAAACTACTTCATGCTCAAATACGATCGACGTCTTAAACAAAATCTCCCCTAGTGTGGTCCTTTTCACGGCTGCTACCAAATAGGCCCTTGTTGATGGAAATAATGAGAAACTTCGTCGCTGCACTATGTTGATGCGACTTTTTGGCATTCCTTATGAGACGCCAGTGGCGATAACCAAAACTTATTGATATTTGAATGTGTTGTTTGGGATTGTAGGCTCCATCGGCTAGAGGCCAAGAATGGAATTCATGCTTCAGCAAAGCAGGATACGATGTCTCTCAAAAGGCAGCACTTGCTGGCGGACGAGTCTGGCAGACCAATCAAAGTGAAAAAACATCCAGTATCTAACGAGGCAGACACCAGTGAGCCGTCGTCTCCCTCCTCAAATGTCTAAGCGCATCTTTATGTTGATCAATATCTCAAACAAGACTCATAACTGTGTTATGATATGTGAAGCCTTGCTTGTTTTACTTTTTATGCGGCGTTTACGTCATCGTTAGCGGTTCCACCACAACTCTACACTTATTTCACTTATTGGCATTGCTTATGGCACCGATACGGTCCGCAAATTTTTCGTGTGTCGAGGTCATGTGTCCACATCGTCCCTGCGTTGATCGACTTTGAGTGTTGAGTTGAGACTAGTCTTCCAGCAGTAAAAGAGGGAAGTTACTCTACCCCTGTATTGCTGCTCGAGATTTTTTGAAAATTGTTTGAATAGCGTACCCAAAATGACTGTTTTAACCTCTTTAGTTTCCAAATGAGCAACATCAGCGTTGACTGACGTCGAGTTTTTGCGACTTAACCTG